ATGGTTTGAATTCAAATATAAAGATAACAATTGACAAATTTGTTATGATTATTTCTCATTTATATAAAGTTCTGAAGGATGTTAAGCAACTAAAAGGACCAGGGCCACAATTTCACAAAATAAAGAAATGTAGAGATATGTTTATACAAACACAAAATGACGTTGGTATATTGCAAATGCACTGTCTACTCATAGGAGCCTTGAAAGCACAAAGACTGAGTTATAAGGTTAAAATTACCCAAGTGATTTCTTATTCCATTGGCAACAGAGGGCAGTTACCTCATCATGAAGGGAGCTGTGTTTTATTTTTATTCAGGTACTTCCCCCCAAACATCTAGAACAGTGCTGATAAATACATGCTCAATAAGTATTTTGTTGGTGTTGAATGAATTGGGCATGAACACTCAGAGAAAATCAAAAAAGGCTCTTATCATCCCAAGATGCATGGGTAGTCCCTTTGAAAAAATATATTTGAAAAATATCAAGCTGACTTTACAGCCACAAAATAAATGCAATAGACAAAAAACTGAATCAATAAAGTCCAGTATAATGGAACAAAGTTTCTAATATCATGGGGTGCATATTGTAATTTCTTCTCCTATGCCTACCATCTTGTTTGCTCTGTTTTCTTTTTTATCTTTTATTTTTTTAATGCTTATTTATTTTTTAGAGAGAGAAAGGGGGAGAGAGAGAGAGAGAGGAGAGAGAGAAAGAGAGAGAGAGAGAGAGAGAGAGAATGAGTGGGGGAGGGGCAGAAAGAGAAGGATACACAGATCCAAAGGAGGCTCCAGGCTCTGTTCTTATTCTATTCATAGCATGAAGCCACATCTCAAAGGTTGAAAAATTTGACATCTGTCTCTCAGGGCATATTCATTTCTTAACTGTAATAGTTTTTAACCTGAGTGGGTTATCCATCACAGAAAGCCTTACAATCATGAGGAGGGCAGATGATTTAATGATCTCTCACTAGCTTATAAACCCGACATACGAATTCAGAGAGAGAAATTTGAAGAGGTTAGGAATTTGGCTTAGGTAACTGCTGTGTATCAGTCAGATGATGATGTTCAGATACAGAAAGAGGCAGAAAACAGTGAAAGATGGAATGAAGGTGTGGAGTAGGATGGCTGGGCAGCTTTCAAGTTCTACTGAGGCAAGACATAAGATTTTTGTTTATCTTTTACTTGTGCACACACACCTAACACATACACGCACACAGAATTATATTTATTACAAAACTCTACACCGAATAACTTGTAGAGATAATACTAAAAATGTTCTTATCACCTAACGGTTTTAATTGATATGAACATCTGACTTCTGGATGGATCCTTGCATCTGTATTGTAAATAATTCACATAAAACGTACACATTCAGATATGGCCTGGATTCTTAATTTTAACTTGTTACGTTTTATAACCAGTCTTTGAAAGCTTTTGTACATTTGCTACAGTCCAACCTAGCAGCCTTGACACTAACACATTCCATTGATTAAAAGTTAAATATTTATTCATCTATATATCTCTCCTGTATATTTAAGTAGAGTCCTATTAGCCTCTTTTAAAATACACATCTGTGTGATTTATGCTATGAAATCTTTCTTTGCCTCAATTTACTTTCCTCACAACCTCTATTAAACAAATACTTTCTTATTTTATTTTATCTGACCTATTATATATTTACATACAAGTTTAGATCTTTCTGGAATTCAGTAATAATTATGTAATTCTTTCCTGAAACTTTTCTTCTGTATTGTGTTCCGAAAATCATGCACCTTTACGGCTTAAACCATCTGAATGGAAGTTTTCTCTTATTTTTTGCCACATCATTTTTTTTTCTTTTTGACTCAAAAATTTGCAATTTTCGAAATAGGTATCTGAGTAGATACTTCTGAGTCTAAATCCTGGGAAATCTTTGATGTGCTTATTCCTTGCTGGGTTTTTTTTCCCAATCTTTGACTTTTAAAAATTATTTTACTGAGGTGAAATTCACACACATATACATATATAACCATTTTAAAGTATACAATTCAGTAGCATTTATGCATTCACAATGTTCTGCCAACCACCACCTCTCTCTAGTTTCAAACACTTTCATTACCCAATAAGAACATCTTGTTCCTTTTAAGGAATAACTCCCCATTTTCCCTGCCCTTCCATATACTGGCAACCACTAGACACTGTCTCTATGGATTTGCCTATTCTGGATAACTCTTATGAAAGGAATCATACAATGACTTTTTGTGACCACCTTCTTTCACTTAGCATGGTGTTTCTGAAGTTCCCCCATGTGGTAGCATGCTATCAGCATTTAGTCACTTTTATGGGTGAATAATATCCCATGGTAAGTATAAGGCACATTTTGGCTATCCATTTATCAGCTGGAGGAAATCTGCTTTGTTTCTAGCCTTTGGTTATTACAAACGATGCTGCTATAAACATTTGCGTACAAGTCTCTATGGGAACATATGTTTTCACTAATCTTAGGTATATACCTCAAGGTGGAACCCTGGGTCATATAGGAAAAATTCTATGTTGAACTTTTTAAGGAAGTGCCAAGCTCCTGTCCACTGAGTTTGCATCATTTACATTCCCACCAACAATGTATAAGGGTTTCTATTTCTCCGAAACATCACCAACACTTATTTCTTGTGTTTTTGTTTTGTTTTATATCATTATTATATTATTGCCATCCCAATGTATGTAAAATGCACTTTATTGTGGTTTTGACTTGTAAGTCTTTAATGTCAAATGTTGTTTCACAGTATTTCATATTCTTGTTTGCCATCTGTATACTTTTTTTTAGGAAAAAAAAGGGTCTATTCAAGTTCTTTGCCCATTTTTAAAATCTGCTTGTTTTTTTGTTTCTTTTTATTTTTGAGTTTTAAGAGTTCTTTATTAATTCAGGATATTAAATCCTTATCAGATATATGTTCTGAAAATATTGTCTCCCACATGTAAGTTGTCTTTTCACATTCTTGATAATGTTCTTTGAGGAACAAAAGTTTCCAAATTTAGTGAAATCCCATTTATTTTTTCTTTGTCACTCATGCTTTTGGTGTCCAATCTAAGAATCCATTGCTAGGTCTAGGGCGTAAAGATTTACCATATGTTTTCTTCTAATAGCTTTATGGTTTTAGATTTTATATTAAAGTTTTATCTGCATTTGAGTTCATTGCTCCATCTGGAGAGAGGCAGGAGTCCAGCTTCATTTCTTTGTATGTGGTGGTCTCTTAGCTGCCGGCACCCTTGCTGAAAGTCCCTAGACTGGTCTTAAGACACTCAATTCACCCTGAATGTTTGAGTGTGTTTCTGTCTTGATTTTATTCTATTGCTTTCTGTGTCCATCCTTATGCCCCTACCACGCTGTTTGGATTAATGTAGCTTTCTTTGTACTATTTTGACACTGGGAAATGTGAAGTCATCAACTTTGTTTTTCCTTTTCAATACTATTTGGGTTACTTGGAGACTTGTAATTCCATATGAATTTGAGGATTGGCCTTTGCCATTTTTATAAAAGAAGGCTGTTGGACTTTTGACAGGTATTGAATTGAATATATACCACTTTGGGGATTACTCCCATTTTAACAGTATTGTCTTCCGAACCATGAACATGGGAGGTCTTTCCATTTAATTAGGTATTCTTTAATTTCTCTCAGCAAAGTTTTGTAGTTTTCAGTGGACAAGTCCTTCACCTACTTGGTTAATTTATTCCCAGGTATTTTATTCATTTAGATGCCATTGTAAACAGAATCATTTTCTTACATTTCCTTTTGAATTATTCACTGCTGGTGTTGAAAATCAAACTGATTTCTGTGCACTGGTAAGAATAGCTAATGTTATATAGCATGTATTAAATGTCAGCCATTGTTCTAAAAGTTTTACATGTCTTCAAAATACTAAAATGGGCTGCTGTAGGCTATAAGATAGAGATACCTTGTTGTAGCCTGGGTTGCAAGGCCTTTGTCGTCTAGAGCTCAAACAATACTTCTATCTGTATGTATCTAAACTAACACTGAAGCAGTTCACTGTCACTGAACACACTATGTGATGTGCTTTCATCCTTTGATGTTACTGCACAGTTTATCCTTTCAGGTAGGATTCTTACCCACTCTCATCTGTCTGGGAAACTCCCACTCATCCTTCAAGACTTAGCTCAGATGTAAACTAAACCACTTAACCAGTTCTTTGGGGGAGGATCCTTGCTGTTCTCTTGTAATAACAACTTTTATATATCTCTTTTATAATGTCTTAATCTTGTATTGCTATTATCTCTTCTGCTTATTCTGTTGCCCTCTGCTATACTGAACTAGTTGAATGCAGGGAATGTATTTTGTATGTATGTGAGCTCTAAGGCCTGGTACATTATCCAACAGAGTGTATTCTCAATAAAACGATAAATCAATGAGAGGGACAAACACACAAAGGTAATCTACTTTGCACAAAATGTGCTCAGCCTACTCCAATTCATCCAAAAAGCAGTAATTCCCCTGTATGGGTAAAATCAAGAAAATTAACTTTGTTATTAAACACACTAGCGGAAGTGAATGAGGGGTCTCCTCCTCTTTCTCCTCTTCCCTTTCTCTCTCTAACATGAAATACAAAGATCATTTGTGTCCATCTAAACAGAGAACAAAACAGAAATAAACACAGAATGCCCAGAAATATGGTACTGTTATATTCCAAATCAAAGCTTCTAAGAATATTCTCTTTATGCCAACATGGAAACAAATGATGAAACGCAAAATGAAAAGAACAAAACAGAAAGAAGACTGAATATATTTCCATAAAATATGAGTAGTGTTTATATCTCTTATTAACGAGGTGGCACTGAGTCTGTATTTAACATCCTGAGCCTCAGCTTCCTCATCTCTAAAAGAAGCCAATATGCCCAGCTCCACACACCACAAATTACTGGTGTGAGTATCAACAGAGAGAATGCTTTTGAAAGTATGCTACGAAACATAATGTGCTGTACAAGAAAGTATGTAGTTATTCACTCACCGAACACAGTTCTAGCAGGCACAGATTCTCTGTTAAGCCAGAATGACACTTGGGAGAGAATGACAGTCATGATGCAAGGCAGATATGTCTGAATCACAAAATACCCAATTTTTCTTTTCAAGTGGAAATGAGCTGTCATTACGGTATATTCACCTAGAAGAAAAATTTAAGAAGCTTAAGGAACTGTAATAGTCAATAGTTTGAACATTTTGGAAATGGAACAGATTTGAGAAGGAACAGTCCCTGATTAAAAAAAAAAAAAAAAGAATTTATCACATATACGACATGAAGAGTATAAACCTTTAAATGCCTCTTTAGCATAGCAAGGATTTTTAAAAGAGAATTTTAATATTACCAAGAAACTTGTACTATATGTCTAAGGTATGACATTTATCTTTCTCTCCAGGTCATGCCTCTTGACCAAGGGGATACAAGATTCACAAATGCTCTCTGATCATGAATTATCTTACTTGCTCAGGTCCCTCATCCTCACTGGTACCAATTTCTAGTCTCTGCTTTGACTGTTCTAACGTGCTGGCTTTTTAAAGTGTCAGTCTCTGGTCACATCTTCAAGATCGACCCAGTCTTTTGGCCCAAATTTCCCACTTCTGACCCTGTCACCTATTTTGATTGTTTTAGTGTTGTATGTGTACTCTAATTTACTGTCATTATTTCTATCCAGTCCTTAGACCTACCTTCTTTTCTGCTCTCTGAGGTTACATCTGCCAGATATAAAATCATTAGTTCAACATGGCTGCTTTGTCTTAGATGAATGTGGCTCTTAAAAAAGGTATCAGCTTTCCCATCCAGGCCAATAGTAATTATCCATAAATTAAGAGTTGAATAGTCATAAATTGTCCAAAATAGGAGGAAAAGAATTAGAAAACTAGGGAAATTGTAACACTGTTTGAAGGTAAAATTGGCTTGTCTGAAAAGACACACGTTCTGTGAATTGGAAGTATATTTTAGACCAGTCTTTCTTACACTTTATGCACACCTCCTTGGAATCTCCTTGGAATCTTGTTAAAATGCAGATCTGGACTTAGTAAGAGGTCAGGTCTGAGACTGTAAATATCTAAAGAGCTCCTATAATCTACTAGTTCTTGGGCCCCAGGAACAAAAGTTTGTAAGCAAACTAACATATTGCCAATGACTTCAACTCATCCATTTTATTTTAAACTTGCTTTTTTGTGGGGGAAGACACCTGGGTGGCTAAGTCAGTTAAGCATCTGACTTTGGCTCAGATCATTATCTCATGGTTTGTGAGTTCAAGCCCCACATTGGGCTCTGTGCTAACAACTCAGAGCCTGGAGCCTGCTTTGGATTCTGTGTCTCCTTCACCCTCTGCTGCTCCCCCACTCATGCTCTATCTCTCAGTCTCAAAAATAAATAAACATGAAAAAATTAAAAAAAATAAGCTTGCTTCTTTTTAGGTTCATTTTACTAACCTGTACTGGATTTAATTGTCTCTTTCCCAATTGACTGGCCCAGCAGATCATACTGATTTAATCTGGAGCCATCAGGAGCAACTTGTACTGAATCAGATGCATTGTAAGTCCAGATATAAGTGACCTCTGAGGTTGTATACGCGTCTGTAGAAAATTAAAAAAATAAAATTAATCACATTAGTAAGAACCATCAACAAAGTGAAGCTTCAAAGGTTAGATATTGCATAGAATCACTGTTTATTATAAAACTTGATACTTATAGATAATATTTTGTAGGGTACAAAAAATGTCTTTGAAAAATACAACTTTCAATATGAAGAATGTGAAGCAGATCAAGAGAGAAAATCATGACCACAGAGTATTTTCATTGAAACCACTTTGAGATGTGAATGGCAAATTTATCTTTGGAGCTTGCAAAAATCACTGAGCCCTAATATCGTTAAAATATCTTCCACAATTCCAAGGTTAGTAGATGAAGTCATTGTAGTAAACAGCTTATAAATACCCAAAACCCATTTAAATGGCTTCTTTGGAAATATCAATAGCAATCATTTATGAAATAACATTTATCATTCAAAATGATAGAACTCTCTGGACATAAAAGTAACTTACTACCACATGAGAATACTGATAAATTGCATTGTATTTATTTTAAGGACTATTTTTGTAGTTTTATGTTTTTCTTCAAAACCTTCCCCTGGTTAAGAACTAAATGACTTTGCTTTCATGATACAATGTGTTTCATTAGAGGAATGAATACTAGTTATTGCAGAACGTGTAAAATAAATCGGAGTCCCATAATTTCATCAAGTTATATGTATTCCTTAAAATATGTTCATTTTAAAATCAATGCACGCAGATCTCACTGGACTACACTTTCATAGCATCACAGCTAAGTTATGGACTGGAAATAAACAAAACATATACAGACCAAGTATAAACTTCTGATTTATTTGGCCAGAGATGCAAAACTTAGCAGAAGTTAGATGATTCTGGTGCTGGAGGGCAGGCAGCATATCCTGTCTTACCTTTTCTCTGGCCTGGCATTTCCCCTGTGGCTGTATGACACTCTCCCTCTCTCCCCTCCAATGAAGACAGTCTCTACAGCAGCTGAATTAACAGACAGTCCTTGCTATACTGCTGACCTTCTGAAGAACTTCTACGTATACTTGGTCATGGGAATGTTTTAGAAACATTAGTTACTCTTGGTTCTTGAGCAAAATTCAGCATCACAGTTACATTCTCTATTAAAAGAGAGAAAGGACTAGATGTCTCCAGCAATATCCCTTGCCTAGCTCTCTGGGACTCTGGAAAGTTCATTTACCTGCCATCTACACATTTTCTAGTTTGATAACATTGTTCTGGGATGGGCCTGCTACCTACTTTGATCCAAGGTCTAAGATCACCAATAAATTCACACTTAAGCATTAGTAACAATAAAGTCAATGTTTATGAGTTTGTGTCTTATTGTCTGTGTGGTCTTTTAGTAGCATACTACAATGCTGCCTGATTTCTGAGTGTTAATACTAAATGCTCATCTGAGTGAAATACTGTTTTCATTGTATACATATTCACCTATATCCATAATTATATTCCGTGAAATAATATTTGAAATAGAATTCTACAAATATGTGTATGTCTGCTTATCTTTATATGTGATTAAATGTGTGAGTATACACATTTAATAGCAGATATATTTCTATGTTTGCATATGAATTTTAGTTACTCTAAAGTCTAAGTGTGTATTAATTTCAATGAGTTAATCACTGATGATTCTGTTATGATTACATAAGTGATGTTAGTAATGTGGATAACTAGCAATCCATTTACAGATCATCAAGTGACTTGTTTTGTTTTCCCCATGAATACACATCAGCAGTTGTGAATATTAATAAATTATGGTTTTCCTAAGTGTAATTAATGATTCTACTTTTGAGTTTTGATGTGTCACATCTAAACATCAATAAGAGAAAATAAAACCCTACATATGCAGTGACACTTTTAAGAAACTAATGAGACACCGAATGGCAGGGACTCTTATCTTGTTTGTATCTACACCTCTTGCATCTGGCACAGAGCCTGCCCAGAAAAAGTTCTCAGTTCATTCTTGCTAGATTAATCATTAAATTCATAATATTTTAATTATGTTATTTCCTTTTATGGAAGACGGAAATCTGCATAGAAGTCCAAGAATATGTTAAAGAAAATGACTGAGTCTTCTCATGTCTTTTATGAAAAAGCAATGATAGCATTTCGTTCGTCAGACAAGAATATGTTTTTTAGATTTAGAGACTGGAGAGAGTAAGCAGGAAGTTATGAAAGATAGACCAGAAAAGCGTTCCTGACTCACCAACACACAGATAAACCAGAGAAACATAGCAGTGTTTTTTTAATAAAGTGTAAAAAGAGAGAAAGATAGCTTGCTTTACAAATTTTACTATAAATTCTATCTCTAAGTTAGGCTTTCATTAAATAATCAAATTTAATTCTGTTAAATAACCCATTTAATTCTGCATTAAATATCAAACATATATTGGTTTGATTCTGACTATTTGATAACTAAAAAAAATCCTCAAGTTATTTTTAATTATTAATTTTTATCCTAGAAGATGATTTACAATTTCTTTTGGACTAATGCACAGAATATATCCAGACTCCCATTGAGGAACTTTTAAACAGCAAGAAAATATATAAAGATGTAAGGCAATAGAAATAAAGCAAAACAAAAATGAATTCAAAATTGTGAATTTATACAAAAGATGTTTCTTTAATTTGAGGACAACGATAAGTTTCCACAAATTCTATCACTTTGGGGGAGACAAGGAGGCTTGTGAGCAAGAGAGGAATAAATAAATGGCTCCTTCTGCCAAAATCTGTTGGGCCAACATTTTAAGGTTTGGGTTGGCTTCTTATACCAGGCCTAACGTGCATACTTTTAACACTTAGGAATCAGGCACCTAATATTGGCAAGGATCAGTAAGAGAATATACAAATCAAACTTTTGTTCAAAGTGTCAAAACAAACGTGAAGAAAATGAAAGAAAAAGCAATTACTTAGGGAATGCCTAACAATAAACGTGTTGTCTGTACCACTTTGAGATACAGAAAGCCATGTTCTCGAGCATGTAATATTTCACTACTACTTCACTACAAGGGATTTTTTAATTTCATTTAAAATATTTTTTAAGCATATTTATTTCATATTCAAAATGGAGACATCACGTCATTTGTATTCGGTGCCTTAATGGCACTGACTTGTCCAGTGAAAAATTCCTTCCCTTCTTATGCCATTGCTGCATTTTGAATAAATCCTTTCCTTGGTATCAAGGCTTTTCAATTTTCTCTTTAATGCCATTTATGTAATGCAAATGAGGTTTTCTCTGCTGCATCTGCTGTAGTTTTTTCAGCACCATGTTTATGTTGTATAACATGATTGACTATCTTAAATAATTTTGGAAAAAATGCCAGTATTGAAGTGATGGTTTCCATGACAATAAAGGAAGGCTTTGTAGTTAAACAAAGAAGACCTTCTCAAAGAAAACTAAGAGCTGACACCTTTTGTAGGAATTGACAGAACAAACAAGATTGAACTTCTCATTCCACAAAACCAAGGTCATCAAAATAATTAAAGGAGTTTGCCTTCACATTAGCTATCATCTTCCCTTTTCTTTCACTTGATACAGTCTGTAGGATAAAGGCACCTATTCAATCATACACCTTTTTAACCAGGTGAGGGAACTTCATTTCTATTCAAGGGAATGAAAAATCAAAAGTGCCCTGAGTTGACAAAGATACCAGGAAGAGCGAGGTTTCTGACAAGGTTAAGTAATGGGACAGGCTAACACAAGAGAGAAGGTGTATTAGCCCTGCCCATGAATTTTTCCTGAACCTGCCCTAAATGCTTTGTGGGCCTTGGGAGATGATTTAACCTCCCCTCTTTCCAATTATTTCAGGAGAGTGGATGCTTCTGCTTCACATACAAGATATAACCTCAGTGACCTAAAGAATGGTCAAATGCACCGAACGTTTTCTGAAATATTTCATATACACAGAAGACGCCTGCATGTAGCAATTTAGCCACATCATCTCCTTCAAATTTATTTTAGGAAATTAAAAAAAATCACTTCCATTTAGTTGAAAAGTAGGAAGGTAATTGTACAGATACAGCTTCTGGCCTGCCATTTGCAACAGGCTGATTACAACTTTAATAAACAATAGAATCTATCCCTTACAATTCATTCCTGGTTACAAAAAAATATATTTTGCATTTTTAATGTGCTAGCACTTGGAAAAAAAAAGGTGAATAACATGGCCTGGACCTTGACAAGGAGCTTCTAGACTACCTTTACCCATGTATAAAAACACATGATGGTCTTCATCAGCAGGAAAGCAAGTAATAATTTAAAACCCATGATTCAAATATAATGATACTTGAGAGTACTATAGGACTAGCCAATTAGTTCCTTGAGGGAAATCAGCAAGTTTTTTACTTCTATATCTTTTTGGGTAAATATTAAGCATTCCACAATTCTAGAAGAAATGCTACAGTGAAGCACTGCAGCGAGCTCTCCTTGATTATACAGACCCAAAATACGTATTTTGATCCCCATACTTACAGCTGCCAAATTTCAGAGGACATGAATGAGCATCCATAGGAAAATCCTCCAAGTGCATTGGACATTCAGCTTGAACCGTAAGCCTAAAAGTGAAAATTTCACTCTTTGTTTAAGTAAATTGGCAAGTCAAGACAAATCACTCCTTACTGCTGGGAACAACAGCATCAGCGATGAGGTGGGATCTTCATTATAGCATTGTTTTAGGCTAATTCATCTTTCAATGTTTTTGATCTTTCACATTTAGGTGATCCTTCAGAAGACATTAGCATATACAAAAATCTAAGCTCAAATAACAATATTTCTTTACAAATATTTTTAACCAATTTGTACTCTGTGATTTGTTAAGAAGTAAAGAAATTACATATGCATTTTTGAAGGGCTATTTGCACAATAGCATTCACTATTAACATTTGAAATCCTAGAGGAAAAAAAGAGAAAATAATCTGTAGTTTGAAAAGAACACTACTTTCACCCATCAGCTCATCAGCAACCTTAGTGCAAAACTGACACAAGAATTCAATATCGGCTCAAAGGAGCTCCCTTCAAAAATATGTAAAATGAGTATCACATACTACATATAGGTACATGGATTCAAATGTAGAAGTAGAAAAATAGATGCGCCTCCTAAAAATATCTTTTTGAAATTAGGCTATCTGCTAAATTATGGACACAAGTTATGTACTGTTAAACAAATACTTTTTCTGGAGTGATATGACCAACATTAAAGAGTAATCATAGCAACCTTGTTATAAAGAAAGTTATCAATTATTCCACGTCTCACATAGGTAAAGTAGATAGAAAAGGTATCAAATCAAATTTATAGAAGACTCTTAACATGAGCAAAAAAATGTGGCCAACAATTTAATTATAGCTTATATACTTCTAAGAGATTATTTAAGTGGAACTCCATGCAATATTTTCCAAAACTCTGTGTGTTCTCTGCCAATATTTTGTTTAAAGCCAAAATTTCCAGTCATTGACTTAACCCACAGGAATGATCAAAGTGTAGGGTCAATAGGGATACTGCATCTGTATTGCAGAATTCAGAGAGAGGGGCAGAGAATAGCTAGCATCTCCATTTTAGGCAATGGTCATTTAATAATGAGTCCTCAAGAGTTTCTTCTTTAAAGATGATGACTCTATTATTGTCACTTCTTAAATAACTTACACAAACTGAAATTTGCCACTTAACATTTCATATGAAATAATAAAACTTCAAATGTCTCGAATATACAACTAATCTATATTTACTTAGTTAAGTTTATTTATTTATTTTGGGAAAGAGTGCAAGTTGGGGAAGGGCAAAGAGAGAGGGAGAGAGAGAGAGGGAGAAAGAGAGAAAGAGAGACAGAGAGAGAGAGAGAGAGAGAGAGAGAGAATCCTAAGCAGACTCTGAACTGTCAGCAAGGAGCCTGACCCAGGGCTCGAAATAATGAACCATGAGATCATGACCTGAGCCAAAATCAAGAGTCAGATGCTTGACTGACTGAGGCACCCAGGTGCCCCATGACTAATCTATGTTTAATGCTGATAGTTAACCAATGCTTTAAAGCCTTTATTAAATATTTAAATTTTAGATTACACACCACTTCATTAGATTGGTGATTGTTTTGTTATATAAGTGACTTATTTTAAAAGATTAATTCATGAGAGGAGTTAAATGGAATAATTGCTAAAGTCAACAACTATATATTTCTTTACATGATTTTTGAAAGGTTGAATCATATGAAACTGATGCTACATGATATTATTTGATTTACAAAATGGAAATTCAGATTATTTAATATATATGCTTATGGTACTTGTAAGCCTTACTGAATAAAAACTATCTCTTTAAAAAAGTATTTTTTTCTTCAGAGTAATTTTATAAGGAGGACTAAAATATTAAGCAAAACCTTCCTTAAAAAATCACTTAAAATTTTGATGGCATATCTGACGAAAAATACTAAAAATAAAATTACATGCTGTTTTAAAGGAAATTTTAAATCATGATATTTAGGGGCACCTGGGTGGCTTAGTCAGTTAAGCGTCCGACTTTCGCTTGGGTCATGATCTTGCGGTTCGTGGGTTCGAGCCCCACGTCGGGCTCTGTGCTGACTGCCAGCTCAGAGCCTGGAGCCTGTTTCAGAGTCTGTGATTTCCTCTCTCTCTGACCCTCCCCTGCTCACGCTGTCTCTCTCTCTCTCTCTCTCTCTCTCTCCTAGAAATAAATAAAAACATTAAAAAAAAATCATGATATTTAAATTCTACTTAATTACAAGGTGGTGTCAAAAAGAAATGGCCAAAAATAATCAAATCCTCTTCTTCCTCTTTTTTAATTTTGTTTGTTTGTTTGTTTAGGTGCATGACAGGGAGGGGCAGGGGAGGGAGAAAGAGAATCTCAAGCAGGCTCCATGTCCAATGAGTGTCTGACCCAGGGCTCAATCTCACAACCATGAGATCATGACCTGAGCCAAAATTAAGTCTGATGCTTAACCAACTGAGCCACCCAGGCGCCCCAAAAATAATCAATTCATAATAGTTAAGGCAATGTTTAAGCTTTAACACTAAGATGAGAATCAATCTCATAAATACTATTTTACCTTATTTTCATATCCAGGGATTTACAAAGCATACTATGAATACTTCCATAATCTGTTATAAAAATGTTCAACTTGTGTTAATACTTGATGACTAGGTTGGCTGGTTGTTAATACATGGATTTCTTAGTATTTAAATTTTTTAATGTTTATTTTATTTTTTGAGAGAGAGAGAGAGCATGAGTAGGGGAGGAAGGGAGAGAGAATGAGACACAGAATCTGAAGCAGATTCCAGGCTCTGAGCCATCAGTACAGAGCCTGATGAGGGGCTCAACCCACCAACCGTGAGATCATGACCTGACCCAGAGTTGGAGGCTCAACAGACTGGGCCACCCAGGTGCCCCTAAATGTAACATATCAAACTTAAAAACATACCTCATTGTGTACAACAGAGTCCCATCATCCTGGATTCGAAGAAGCTTATTCGGCATTGTCATATTATGAGCTACTGATTTTTTCCCGTTATGAAAGAAGGTATCAGGAGTCCAGATTTTGCTAGCCATTAAATTGTTAAGTCGAAGAATGTTCATTGGACCTTTAAATTTTAACCGTTCATCTTTCCATTTTTGTCGAAAGAAAACATCAATTGTATATTCCTGAAATATAAAACAGAACTCCTTTGAATATAACAAATGTTTCAGATACAAAGACACTATAAAATTCCAACAAAAATAATAATATCGATAGTTTATAAAGAGGGAACATTGTACTGAGAGAAGTTTTGAAAGATCATTTCCTTATCAATAAATGTTGCCACTTAACAATGGGATAAGCATGTGTGTTTATACAATTAGCTACATATTATTATTAAAAGAAAAGAATAAATATACTTTATCTGGCCTCTTTAAATTGAACATTTTAAACTGCTTTACTGCATCCTATAGTTTACAAACATTGGACAGGGAGCATGTTTGGGCAGGTCTGGGTGATTATTCTAAGTATTTATCTCAAGAAAAAGCAGGTGGCCTCCTTGGTAGCTTTCTTGTCCCCCCCCTCCAAAAAAAAAGGAAAAAAGAAACAACTATTAAACACACTGTCAAATCTGTTTGAGTCATCATCTCTGTTGCCAAAGGAACTATAAAATATCACATTTCTTTTTTAATCTTAAAAATGGTAAGATAGCATATTGCTAGGAAGAAGTATTAGGGGATGATGATTTCAATAAGGTTTATTTTATAAAATTAGTTGTAATAAACATACTTGACATGTAACTGGAATGCTTAAAATAGAAGGATTTTGCAGATAAACACCCTGAGGTTAAGATGTACTTTTAAATATTCATACAGATCAGCTAGTGATCAATTCTTATGATTCTCCAACACTTTAAGTTAGTTTAATCAATCTCTTTCTTGCCCTCTCTCACATTCCTTTCTTTACTCCCTGACTTCCTCTCTCACTCTCTCTCAGAATAAAATGCATACATTTTTGACAGGAGATACAATTCACAGTTGTGACAATCCTGACAATCTATTAGATGTTAAAATTTTTGTCAGTGTATGTTTGTGCAAACTCACATGATAGATCACCGAAATGTTCAATTACACAGCCGAGAATGGAAAATCAGAAACTGTCCTCTGAGCCCAAAGCCACAGTCATCACATTTGAAATTAACACCTTAGCAACTGGCAATTTCACTCAACTACAATTATGCATGTAAAAAAGGACAGATTAAAAAGGCCATCTACTTAGAAAATATCAAATCATTTGTGGAAACATTAATCAAGTAAATGATTCCCAGTGAACTCTCAAAAACTGAATGGATGGATGAAGAGTATCAGTCATAGGCCGTGACTTAGGAACAGAAAATGAGTGGCTCTGAGCTCTGTCCCTGATCCCTGGGAGAAAAGTTCATGGTTGAGGCAATGCTCACTCTCAGTGGTTTAGTCCTTTTTAAAATGTTTAATTCCATAGAGATAGAACTCAATTTTTTTAAAGAAATACCTAGATAAAGAGATGAGTCTTTGCTATCTTAAGTTTTTATGTGTGTTTCCTTCCAACCACGGTTCCATCTAATCTGAGTCTAACATGAATACATAGGACATTTACTTGTCCAGGCAAACTGAATGCATATTACAACTTTTTATAAACATCAAACTCAGATTTTCCACTTCTGCAAAATTATGATAGGTTTTATCTGTTTCAGAAGCTATTTCTACAGCAATTATTTCCTGCAGATCTAACACATAGGAGATATGCAAGGTCTATGAACAGTAAGTTTCAGGTGAGTTTTTTTTAAAACTGTTTTCAAGAATACTGTTTGTTCCCGAGTATTCATAGTGTCCCAGGTGTGCCTACCAAACTAAAGAGAGTGATCTCTGCCTCTTTCTCCCCCACCCCATCCTAACCAGCAATCCACACTTCTTACCATTCCTCACCTAACCCAACTTTCCTACCTGCCCAAGTCAGGAACTACTCACAACCACGTTCCCAGTCCCTCAAACACCTGGAAAATACCTAGTCAGCTATCTGTATATCGTCATTACTCCCAAAGCTTTCCATTACTTTCAGATCCCACACTGCAACTGTATGTTTGTTCCTCGGCCTCCCAACAAGCTTGCAAATCTTCCCAACAAGCTTGCAAATCATCACAGAAGGCACCATGACTTTCATTTGTGTATTATCTTAGCTTGTCTTCAGACATATGCAAGAGTATAAAGAAGGTCATAAACATCTTGTAACCATCACCAGCAGAAATGTCATCATAAATATTGAAGCCTTCTTTCTCATTCATCCCTCCTCAATCACAATCCCTGATTCTTTGAGGAAAGAATTATCTTGAATTTGGTGTTTATCATTCTCCTACATGTGATTATATCTTTACTACATAAATATATGTGTTTCCGTATCACAGTTTTAACATTTATATAAATGGTATCATACAGTGTATACTTTCCTGACACTGACTTTTTAGTTATGTTATTGAAATCCATTCATGGCACTGTATCTAGTACTTGGACTCATTTTCATTGCTACATAGCATTACTTTTTAAGAATATTTCACAATATTCATCCTGTTTCTATGTTCTTATTTTTTTTCCTATTTCCAATCTGTCACTATTGCAAAGCAATACTGTAATGAGCATTATTATATAATGCTTTTAGGACAAAGGCCCAAGAATTACTCTAAACCAGAGGTCAGCAAACTTTTCCATAAGGGGCCAGTTAGTAAACATTGTAGGCTTTACAGGCCATATGGTAAAAGAACCACCCAACTTTGCTATTGTAGTGTGAAAGTCCTCACAAATATTATTTAAGTGAGTAACATATAACAGTTACTCCAGTATAGTTATAACAGCTATATTCCAGTAAGTCTTTATATATAAAAATAAGTAACTGACAGAATTTGGCCCATGGGCCATGGTATGCCACCACTATTCTAGAGTAAATTTAAGGGTAGGAATACTAGAATGTGTTGTATGTGGATCCTCAACAAGATATTTTCAAGTTGAAATCCTAGAGGTCTTGTTTGTACAACATGGTATAAATAGAATGTTTCATTTTAGCTATTATAGTTTTTGTGAATGGTTCATAGTGCTATCATTTGGATTTCTCTTTTAATAAGTGAAATTTACCACATTTGTGTATCTTTATTAAATACTCTAGTTTACTCTTTTATGTACTGTCTGTTCATTTCATTTTGTTAATTTCCTTTTAGGTTATCTTTTTCTAATTGAGTTACAGAAATTATTTATATTTCTTTATATAAATATTTTATTAAATATACTACTCAGTAAGAATTATACTAAAGATTATAAAGGCATACAAATGTCATAAATATATCCCTGTACATTTCTTCTAAGGATAAAAGCTCTGCTGTTTAACATTTAGGTCCTGGAATTATTATGTACCACATGAGATAAAGATTCAACATTGTTTGTTTGTTTGTTTGTTTTCAAATGGAAAAACAACTTTCTAGTTCATTTATTGACTAGTCCATTTTTCCCCATAGATCTGCAATGGCATTTCTCTCATTTATATAGTGCCATACAGGTATGGAAATGTTTCTGAGATTTCTCTTCTTTTCTATTGTTTATCTATCCCAGCATCAATTCCAAAGCCATGATTGCTATAGCTATCTAATAAGCATGATTAATAGTATTTTCATTATTATTCAAAGACATTTTATAATTGCCATTATGATTTTCCTTTTTCTATATGTAGGAGACAATGTGAAGCGTTTTTATGTTTCCAAATGTGTTGGCTTCTTTTATTTATTTATTTTTATCATTGATGTTTAATTTTACTGCATTTGTGATAGACAACTATGTTCTAAAGACACCATTTCCAATTTATTAACAACATCTTGGGAGATTTTTTGTTGTTGAATCTGATCATCTCTATCTTTTAACTGTAATTCAGTCCATTTACATATAATGTGATTATTAATATATCAGACATGTTCCCAGGATATATTGTTTTGAGCAGTGACAAAATGATGAGAATGAAGGAGCCACTTACATAGATATCTCATGACGATGAAAATAAATAAGAAAAAAAATTCTAGAAAATTAAGAAAAATGTACCATAAAAGAAGACACACACACACACACACTCACACAGAGTGAGTAGAGGGAAAGAAAATACCAAACTAAGAGAAAAGAAAACTTAAGAACCACGTGGAGTTAAATAGTGTCTAATAGTGCTGCAAGGTCTTGAGCTTAGTTTAGAAAAGAGTTCAGAAGCCAGAATGAAATGGGTCAAGAAGTGAACAGAAGATACAAATGGGGGAAGCTTAAAGTACTCTCCCTGCTCCTGAGTTTATAAATGCCATTAAGGAAAATCAGTTTAACCAGTAAAATCTAAGACCTGTTAACAGCAGTTAGCTATCACGGTGTAAGAAACACCTAAAATGAAGTTGCTTATAATAGCAACTTTTTATTATTACCTCAGAAGACATGAGACCTGAAGTCAGTTGATCTCACCTGGGCTCTGCTGATCTCAGCTGTTCTTGCTCTTGCCTTAGCTGGCCATTGGCTGATCTAGGCTGCCACTGCGTAGGGCCATTGGGGCAATTCAGCTCTCCTCCATGTGCCTCTTATCCTCCTCCAGGGACCACAGGGATACCTTGGGCTTATCTTTCTCATGACAATGGCAGAAGTAGAAAATAATAAAACCCAATGCCAATCCAAGCCATAGCTTACGTAAGTAATGTCTGTTAATGTCCCATTGGCCAAAGCAAGTCACATGGTTGAATTTAGTGAGAAGTATTATAGCAAGTCACCCCACTCTCAGTGAAAGGGCATTATAAAGTTAAATAGAAAAAGATGTGTATGTAAAAAGGAGTAAAGAGTGGGGGCTATGACTATACCCTATCACACGAGCTCATGTGGGAGAAAATTAAAGATTTTTGTGAATGAATGAAGAGTTTGAGAAAAATCTGAGACTCTACTTCATTAGTGACTCTAAAGAAAGCTACATGGGTCTATATCAAGGAAGCAGTTTGGTTTTAAGTCAGTAAATAGAATTGTAATCAACTGTATGGTAACTAAATGAAGAGGGAGACTGTGAGCAGAACAGGATATTCAGCTTAGAGCAGTGGTTTACAAAGTGGTGTATGTACATCCTTTTAGGTGTAAGAAGAAAATATAGAATCCTT